GTCCAGGGAAGAATCCTTATGTCCAGGACGCTCGGTGACGCGTGCTGGTAGTTGTCCACCGTAGGATACCTAGTGGGAGTCGCGGGAGCGACTATACTGAAATTTAGGTTATCGGATAAGCTAAAGAGATGCTTTCCGTTGTTGTTTGGGATGCTGTTGATGTCCCATGAGCCGTGTTTGCAGTTTAGATCTCCTGCAATTATCACGGAAGGGCCTAAGTTAAGAAGCGTATCTAGGTCGCTTTGAAGGTTTTGTTCTAAAACCTGCGGTTGTACTTCCCATTAAGGTGTTTTTTAAATGGGTCTAATTAACGACGCGGCGGAGCGCGCGTTTTTATTGCGTGGACTATTGTTCTTTACGGTTGGCTCGTAAAAGCCCAAAGGGCTTCCACAAGCGTTTTGTGTTGGCTAATTGCCCTAAGACGCTCGTGGCCAGATGTGGCGGCCGCTATTTCAGCGGACAATACGGCGAGTTCCTGCCTATTAATTCTATCTAATAAGCTGCAGATAATAGCTATTTGCGCGAAGGGGTCGTCCTTGTTTTCGGCGCGGCGCCGTTTGAGAGGCGGGCAGCTGTCGTGAGGCGACCGGGATTACCGGCGCGGTTACCTGCGCGGCCACCTGGGGTTTCGCCAAGATGTTAATGACGGGTACGGGCGCGGGAATGTATTTAACGAGCGCGGGTTTGGGCAACGTAGACTTCGCGGGAGATTTTCTCGCGGGAGTTTTCGGGGCCTTAGCGCAGCCTCTATAACTAGCCGGATGGCCGGTAGGTAGTGTGGCAATTTACGCAGTCCGGTGGATCTGCGCAATCTTTTGGCCTCGTGCACTCGGTTGTGCCGTGGTCACCGGTGCATTTGACGCACCTTGGGCGAAGCAGTTATTGGCCATGTGGCCAAAATGTTGACAGTTGTGGCACTGTGCCACAACACCTGATTTACGTGGGGGCTCGATGACTAAGTCACTGAGCCCACAGACCCTCTTAAGGTTGAAAATGGCCTTACCTTCCGGGGTAGGGTCAAGTTCCACCATGACCATGTCCATAGGGACAAGGGGTGCGAGGGTGCCTGAGACGTCGCACGGCGTGGACAGGGTATCCCTGCGTGCGGATGTCGACCTTAGCCATATCGACATCCGACTCTTTTGAAAGTACTTTGTTACGCGGCGGAAATCGTCTGACGAATCGAGGTATACGCGGATACCCATATTAGTATTTTTTGACCGGGATGTTATGGCGTTCAAACCACGAACAAACCTGGTGCCACTTTGCCTTATCTTGTATTATTATTGGCGGCGGTGGCTTGATTTTTCGCTCGGAGGCGAATGTCGGTTCCGACTGGGCAGACGCGACTGCCTTTTTGGCGGGCGTCGCGGTGGGACGGTTTTGACGGGGCGGCCTCGCTTTCGGGGTCGCTGTCGGTAGGGTAGGGGGCGTTTCTTTGCCCTTTTTTTTTTCGCGATTTGACGACGGTGAAGCCGTCGGCGTTCGCGTTGTTAGCGGGGGTCGTTTCGACCTCCATGTCTGAGCCGCCGTCCGATTGTGAGTCGGGAACGACAGCGCGGAAGGGGGCCGAAATGGTTTGCGCGGAAGGCGCGTTGGGTTCTTTCGCGGCGGCGGAAGTTGACGCGACGGGCGTATCGATTGTCGCAGAGGGCGACTCGATGACTGGCACAGAGGACCAGAGATGGCGGCGAGGCGGCAGCCGGTGAAGCCGGACTGTCGCTTGAAAATTCGACGACGATGCGTCGTTCCCTCGCGAAATTCAAATACCCATAATTCAGGGCATTCTTGACGCAGGAATTCCTGTATGAGGGAACCCATGTCGACGTTTGAGCCTTTGGGGCTTGCGCCCCGCCGGCGTGTGGCTTACTAAATAGGCCTCCCCACCTTGCGGCAGGGAGTTGTGTGCCTAAAATTAACCTTTAATCGCCTGCGCTTTAGGTGCGCTAGGGTGAGTACCTAGCTGTCGCCTAATGCAACAAGCACACAGGTAAAAATTACAATGCCGCCTCTGAGACGAAAAATGTGTGTAGAATTCTACTTACGGACAGGAACCTGCCTACGAGCACAACACTACACTAACACTATCCGCTCGGAAGTCGGGCAAAGTTTCTTCTTTCTTCTATAATGTTTTTTCCTTCTTCTATAATGTTTCTTCTTTCTTCTTGCTTGAGACTTCCCTAACCGTAGACCGTGAAACACGACAACGATGAGGCGAACAGTGCACACCAAGAGATAAAAGAAATAGAATTAGCAACAACGGTTGCAAGATGGCTTCCGGGTCGGTTGGCATGGGCCCTCCGACTCAGAGTAACGTCCGTTCCGTGTGGAAGCACGAAGCGGAATCTAAAAAAGTAAAAAAGACCTAATACGATCTGAGCAGAAGAGACCTTTGCCAAGCAGTGGTACACAAATAGGCAGTTACTTTACTTACTTCTTACTATTTGCAACAGCAGCGGTGCGGTACCCAAAGATAGTAAAAAAATATAACTCATGAAATGATGATAGGAAACATTGTTAGTAGATCTATATAGTTTCCTATCATATCATTAGATGTTACATATCCACAAGAGACCCGTCTTGACAGGATATTTTCATAACGGCTCAGCAATTTTTGGC